CACATTACTCTCGTGTGCCGGCAGTCACAAACTGAAGAGAAGCAGCGCCATGGGGCGGCTCTTTTATAGTCCTGACTGCAACCAGTAGGGGTCAACCTCTTCGGCCACGGCTGCTTGTCCCGCTTGCGCAAAGCGATCGATCTGTGCACGTGCTGTTTGGCGAAGTGGCCGCTAGAGGCGTTGGCATCGCTCCAGTTAGGGCCCTCCTTCCAACACTGTACGGACTCAAGCCAAGCTGGCAACAGCACAGCCGATCATAGTAGGGCCTCAACGCTACCGCTATAACACGGGGCAGCCGATAGAAACATAGGCTGCAACGGCAGTATCTCACAGGTGTTGGACTTTTCGGGCTCTTGGAGTCTTCCTGCTGGAGTCTACTGCGAGTGCACCCGGCCTACCGAAGCTGTATTCTCAACTGTTGGCTGAACTGAGCCTCTTTTCGCGTGGAACTTTCTCGTGACCTCATTTCTATTTTTTTTTTTCTTTGCGTTTTGGGCATATTCTGCCCTCTTTTCGTTTGCTGTTTCCAGAATTTCCTGACAAAACGACCCGTTCCACATCCGCGTTCGGACCCAACAACTGCGAGCTTCGGAAGGGACGAGCAAACTTTCACTGTCCCTTGCTTCAACCCTGTCGGACAACTCCTGCCTGGAAGTAGATACATGCTACATCTCGATACAATAAAAATGCGTCGTCATTCCGTTTCACCCCCCGAAGGTAAATTAGAGGTTTATACATGGCTGCGGACTGTAGAAAAACCGATGAAAATATATACCAAGAGGGACTCCTATGTACCTCGTTATTCGTCTCCGAGTAAAGAACAGACCGAAGGTACGGTGAAGCTCACTGTACTTCAGTGTGCGATTTAAAGCACTTCTGGAGAAGTACAAAGGTAATGAATTTCAAAGCTCTCCGATCGGCTAGATCCGGACGATGTTCATGTCTATCATATTGTTGGTTTTATACCTGATACCATATTCGATTTTCTGATGCACACAAGATGACAAAGAGCATGGACATACCCGGTTCCTGCTTGATGCGTTAGGGGATCTCTTATTAGGTTTGACGTTAACGTATAGGAAATTATCTGGTAACTACACTCCTTGACAGGCACTAAAGAGGTTACGTTACCAAAGCACATTCCTGTCAAGCAAGGCACGCTTGGAGAGTCGACTTAGTTTTAGAAGAAGTAACCGATCGTACGGCCTCTACTATATGTTACCGTAAAGCGATCGAGCTTGCAAGACAGCGGGGTCTGTAAATGTACCCTGTAGAGTCCAAGCCATTGATGAGTTACATGGTTTATAACGATACTCGACTGAAGTCGAAGTGAAAAAAAGCCAGCCAAAGTGGATGCAACTTCGCTTATTACCAGAGGAAGCTGGCTGGACACACGAGTCTCGGTAGAGCTTTAGAAAGGAAGAATGGTAAACTCTATTGATTTTTAAATCCTGTAAAGCTGTTCCTATACATGCTGTAAACTTAATAGGTAAGTAAATGCCTCGCTAATGTCAGTCGTAATTAATCGTGTCAGATTATTTAATTTCGGAGAAAATCTGAAACGCAAGCCAAGGTTTCAGTGTAACAACTTGTAACGATGATCTTCAGGGACTGAACATTATAATTGGTTGTATCATACCAATTTCACCCTGAATCAAATAAAAAAGTCTCAGATCAATTGGTTATGATATTGGTGAAGGAAGATACACACGATGTGATCGTTGTAGATGCCTTTTTTGGACAAAGTAAAATCAAATACGACCTACATTTGCATCTTTCCGGCGATCGTGGTGGTAGAAATAGCACTGAGATGTATTACTTTTTCAACCTGTTTGAGCAGTGTATGCCTTAAACATTCTTTTCAGGATCAAATATTCCGTAATCTAATAATATTGCAAAACGATCTTCATTCCTTCCTAGCCTTGTATCCCTGGTCCTTGTAGTAGTCTAGGACACCTAGCACCTGCTAGACCGTGCAGCACTTAAAACAAAAACAGCTGCTGCATCGAGGCGACATAATTGGGTGGTTTATTTATAGAGTGGCCTTTGAAACGGTTTTAGTTGAGGCGAAAGCCTGCAAGTACAACATAGTCTCTTAGTTGAAGGCATATCAGAGAATCATCGCAATTTCGACGCAGGGGGTATAATTCTGCTATGCAACAAGCTTCTGAACGAATTCGAAGGGGCTCTTCATCATAACAATGCAACCATGAAAACTAAGGTTAGGACAATTATTACGGACATCAGTTCATTAATCGCGCAGCATAGGAGACGTATTTTTCGAGAGATTGTTTACAACATGATTTTGCACCATATTAGGTGCCGACCGCCGGCGTCTAGCCCGTACTCTGATATGAAGTCAAAGAGTGTGCCCTGCTCAGATAGTTCATTTAAAATCAGGTATCGCACAATCATGAAGACCCTCGAGTTGGTGACAGCTGTCTGAATCTGCAATGCCAGCTGTTCATACAAAGCGAAGTCAAGCTTTTTTCTCTTACGTTGCATTCCCTTTATAAGCCTTACTGTGACAGCGTATTGACATTTCTAAAAATTCGAATTTCTCTGATCGTTGCCACTCAGCCAGCTGCTAACTGACGTCACGCACGAGCTATGCAAGTTACAACTTACTATTTCGTAGCTGCTTCAAATGGAATACGTGTTGTCTACCGTTGACTATCTGGAGCACGCCTAGAAAAACAGATGGCTAACGGGTAATGTTCTCGCATCCAGTCTACCGATAAAAGCCTGGCGAAAAGTTCGTTTGCACATATATTTCATTATCTCTATAGTAACTGCTAATCGTTAGGGAACGTGCGTTTGAATTTCCTTTTCACTTTTCTGCAATCGGAGATTTTATTAAGGTCATGATGAATGGGCATAGCAGTTGGTGGGTGTTGAATGGAAAACTTTGCCCCATCGACACGTGTAGACAGACGAAGGGGGTGGCTGGTTTCGCTTTGCGCTGGCTGGCCTTGAACTCCAATTGCAAAGGATCGAAGTGTTCTCCGCCTCTAAAAGGGTGGAGCATTGGAAACATTGATATCGGAAATGGTTTTCCACTGCGATACCTCAACTGTACAGCAAATGTAGATTCTGGGTGAGCGCACACGTTATTCAACTTTCGTTCCTGTTATCTCAGCTGTAAGAAGATTCGATTCGTACCATTTTGCTATAGGAATAAACTCAGAAGCTTATTTCTATAGCAAAAACATCACGACAGTGTAGTATATGTTTGACTTAACAGAAGCAGCCAAGTTAGCGATAGGTCACAGCAGCGTTTAGCACAAATGGTGAACTTATGAAGCGATCTACGAGAGAGGGAACTTTCAAAAACTTTCAAAGCTAACTGAAAATTGTTTAGAGAAAAATAAAAGCTGGAAATCAGTTTGTTGCTCCATGAAACGTCCTGCATTTGTTAAGAGGTAACAATATACATATGTTTTTTTTAATCTCCATAAATATAAAGAGATACCTACGCCCGTATATACGTATATACTTTAAATTTACCCAAAAAGGTTTGAATAATGCAGAAGTACACTAAGATTGACAAAAAAAAACGTTACGCGATACCCGTGGTGCCGAGATATTTAACTGTAAAAATTTCTCTAATTTTTACTTAATAATAAAGTCCCTTGAACTGCGAAATAAGCAAAATTGGATATAGTTTACAGCTACTAAATATTAGCTAGTCATTAATAAAGAGCCCTCCGTCATTAACTCCACAGGCCTTTTTGGAAATGCCCCAACTTTGTTTACATAATGTTATCTATACACTTGTTTTACACTAACACTGCCAGTAGGAAAAACAGCACAGAATAATAACGATCGGTACCGTCGTAAGCTGTATATTTATGTGCACTGGCGTGTTATATTCATGATTATTGTTAATATTCATTACTACAAGAACCACTTATGACCCAGATAGTAGGGTAACCCAGCCGATTCTTTTCCTATGCTACCACTCTGATACCACCTAGCGGAAAGTGCGAACTACCCGTCTGCTTATCTGTCCGTCTAACATTATGGAAGACCTTTTGTCCTATTTAAATCTTTGGTTTGTTCCCTTATCTATGATACATCTAAACACGGCCGGCTATATAAGGTAACAGTATCGAGCGGAAATAATAATTACTAGAAACGATGAGGCAGAAAGAAGTTGCGAGATCAGCTGCAGGAACGAGCCACTTGTCAGTTATCGCTCAAGAACTACCACAGTTAAACACAAATCTTGATGACAGCAGTGATAATATAAGACGAGCAAGACTTTTTGAAGTCAACGGTGCAAACTGTGCTAGTCTTCCAGCGTGAAGTTATGCCGTGGCGAAGCATGATTCTCGCTGATATTTATGAGCAGCTTTTCTAGTGATGTGCGTGTCAGCAGCCCTGACTCGTCGAGGAAACGACAGCCTCAAAGAACGTGACTATAGAACTTGTGATTGAAAAGCTCATTCAATTATATTTGTCACGGACGCGATTCTCTGTTTTTATTCCGAAATATGCGATTCCTTAATTCGACGTTCTCAATCCGAGCAGAACATGATGACAGACATTTTGCTATTATTTGCTTGTTTTGTTTACCCGAATATGCATTTCGAGCATGACTATCTAGCACCTTGGGTGATTTTTTTACATGTACCCACATTGTGTGCAAACCCAAGAATTATACATTGGCGAATCGGCATTATCAGCTCTCACAGGTAGCTAGTACGCTATTCTCGTTTACTGTTTTGGATTAACTCGAACAACAAACAAAAAATTCCGCTATTGCTTAAAAGTTGCTTCTATTGGCTGGCATTGCCACTCAGCAAGATACCGTTGTAATAGAGTCGCCATAATCAGGGCTGTATCAGATGACTTTTGTTCCTGTTTCCTACCGAGAAAAGATCGCCTTCGGCAGAGGGATTAGAGACAAATGTGACATATGTAAACAACGAAGGTCGGTTAGTAAAAACTTGTTAGTTTAGGACAAAGCGGCGCATAGCAACCAAGCCTAGACTGACCTTGGCTTTGGCCTCTGGGGTGAGACTCATCGACTGTGATCTCGTCCGAAACATGTCCATCACTTTGGCTACAGCGCCTACACCCTTTGACTCCGACCCTGATCTGTAACGAGCAAAAAACCACGAGCATATGTTATTATATACTACCTGTAAGAATATATCTGTCGTGTTAGACCACATAAACCGTCAGTGGTTACCTCGCCAAACTGACTTCAATCGAGTTACTTAAGCAAGTGTAATTTTTTGCTGATGTAGGCATTGTTTCCAACGTAGACACAATAGCCAAGCTATAGAAACAGGATCATATTTACGAATCCTATGGAAGATGCCGTAGTAAGGAATGATTGGCTTTTCTTTAGAAATTTACAAGGATGATCAATATGGCGGAATACATAAGGTGGTCGAGTTCCCTTTAAGTAAGCGGCAATAGAATTGTTTCCATTTGATTAAGTGAACATCTGAATTGCCGTATTTTAAATTCTTACAGTTTAGCTGGATATCGTTAAAAGAACTTCCAAGAGATAAAACCTACGCTTAAGTACCACCACTGGCGTAGTTTATCCTGTTTAAAAAGGCAATTACCTTGGAGCTACCCTAATAATAAATTAAAAATCCTTTTACCCGCGCAGATGACTGGGGTTTAGTATTAGATAAAGACTGAGATGTCGCCTGAATATAGTCGTCTTAATTTCGAATGAAATCATAGAAAATTCCACAAAGGATGAAATGCTTTTGACGACGAAACTCTAGTATTATAGAACTAGTGCTGAAACAGAGCCTTTTTTTATGTAAAAGTTCGCCTGTTCCGTGATTTCGCTTTAATCGAAACAGTAGCTAGGAAGGATAAAAGGAAGTCATCACAAACAGGCGCGTATTGCTTGTTCAGCAAAAGGCCAACGTTGTTAAAAGGACTTGAATACTACGCCCTACTTCTGTCAGGGAACGAAAGGCTCTCTTTAAGATATTTGGCTGTTGAACAATGCATATAGCTATTTAGATGCTATGGCGAAATCGGAGAAAATATATTTTTATATGAAGTATCATTGACCAAATTTGTCTAAAATCATCTAGTGGCAAACACATGTTTAAGAGACTGCTGGTTGCTGTCTAACGAATATGCGATATATATTAGGTCGTCCGGAGCTATTTGGAGGAGCGAGAATTTTTAATCAGGCGTAGTAACTTGACTTCAAAAACATTTACACCAAGTCTTTGGCTATCTACGTTTGCTAGCTGATTGAGCGAACAGTGGGTCTGTAAGCAAAGCTAGCGTTTAGTGCTCAAGATCAAAGTTATGTCATCAAATTTTGATTTTTCATTCAGAGCGCTGGTGGAATTAACCGGATAACGCTGGGCAAAGAGGCCTTAAGGGAAGTACCAGTTTAGTTTGGTATTGGGGCAATCAATATGGTAGTGGAAATTGGAAAACTGAAAACTACACCTTAAGACTTGAAGAAGGAGAACTTGCTTCGATCATCCTTCGAGTATGAAATTTTCTGAATTACATATTATAATATGAAATAGTAAATACGAAAGAGGAAAGCAAAAGTTATTTTCGCGCAAACTGAGTCTAGGACAGATGGACAAACACGTGATGTACTCTAAACACAACTTGTCCATCCAGTAAAAAGCCATCCAGAGTACGCCGTCGCCACTGCGCATTGACCTTCAGGCAACAGACGACAGGTGATATCTTTGCTTCTAAACTCACTCTATGATAACTTTTACTCATCCTGTAGATGAGGTAGCCAATAAGTTAAGGAGATTATCTTTCGGATTCCGCCTGTTAATCGTGTGTATAATTTGAGTTTTTAACCTGCTCAGTAGTTCTAAATAACCTGAAAAGGCGATGAAAGGTCTTCTCACATTTATCTTCAGGGCCAGCTAAGCGAATCTCTTAATAAATTTCTTGCTTTTAAACAAGGATGTCCCGGTACGTTCTTGTAAGGACTAATGAGCAATTCTTTAGTGTTTATAGTTGATGGTTGAAGGTAAATGTCTTGAAGGAAAATATTAACCGCAGGATCTATGCTATAGCTGCATTCGGTAGCTTTTTTCATTTTGCATACGAAAATAATTACCTGTTACACTTGTTTCAGGTTATTTGCTGGAAAAAAATATTTCCATAATGATTTCTATAAAATCTATAAAAATTTTCGAAAAAATCGAAACCTTAAACAATTTAGAAAAGCTTTTCATTCTTGAATACCTCGGAATTAGCCGCCATAACATAACCGCCAATTTAGAATATATCATTACAATATAGTTATTAGGATGAAGGTAAATTCGTGTTTCTTCTTCATAGACATTTTTGTGCGAATTATTCATAAATAGGTCAGCTACCAAGGCGAGACAAAAAGATTTTGCATATGGCGATCAGAAGTAATCAGTGATTCGACATTGTTGAGAAACCAAATTTTTCAAAAGTAAACCAATTCCGCACGTACGTAAAAACGAAATGTCTGCTCCGTGATCTAGATGTGATTTACTCGAGAAGGCCTAAAATACTAATGTCTGCAACGATACTACTTTACTCTCAACTCTCGTAGGGTATTTCACAGACTAAATACATCATAACAAACTTATTCAGAAGCGTACAATATAGAAACACACAAACAAGTTCAGGAAACGAGCCAATATTGTTTATATGCTTATTTTTGGTTCAAATAGAATCATTTGATCTAGAAGTAACACGTTAAATTGTGTTTTATTTGTGATTTTTCCTTCGGTTCGCCAGCGACTAGCGCAAGACCTAAGAACGGGATATAACACCATAAGTTCAGGAAGATTTTCACAAAACAACTTAATATATCGATTCTGTATATACTTATACATACGAGATTTCCAACAGTAGTCCAGTAGTATTCGTATACTTCTAAATCTATATGGTTCTTCTGACTCAGCAAAATTAATGTAGGTGACTTGGAACAGGAGAAGTTCAACTAACTCAGTTGCCCGAGACGGAGGATATTAACGTGAGCTTCTCTTTAAGAGAAAAAGATCTCCCACTGCACTTAGGGAATATCGAACGCCATTTTATAGCTTTATATAAGCATATAAAATCTAGACTTCAACTTTCCGTAAATAAACTAGAACAATCAACTCGTTGTAGTCAATCAATAAGCGCGATTGATTAAAACAGAATATTTTATGGGGTATGTAATAATTGACCAGAACGATTTGAAAGTGCGTTTACATACAGGGAATTTTGAGGATTCACATCTCCGTTCAGTGGTCAAGCTCGAAAAGCAGTGGCGCTTTCTGTTTATTGCTTGAATTTTTTTGTTTGTTGATGGTAAAGAGCTATACACCGTTACAGAACTCGTTCCTTGCTCTGTACAGCGGTTGCTATCCGGGACGTTTTGCCCGGGCTCCGAGGTTATTGTTATAGTTATTTCGGCAGATCTTAAATTCGGTACAAGATTAATGTTACGCGTCAGAAAAGCTGTTTATTTTACGGGATGTGCCTGACTTTGAAGTTCCACTTTGATAAAATTGTGTCTCTAAGAAAAACAAGGAACAAAAAAACAAGGCAGGTTTGTGGCAAAAAACAAGGAACGAGATTGAGGAGAGAGAGAAACGTTGGAACATGGAACTAGATACGATCGTTTTACTTACTCCTTTTTCGCTTTTATGAAGGAATCATAGGCATGTTTTTGATAAGAAAGATCTCACACCAGAGCCTGTCGGCAGTATGTAGTGCCGCCACCGAGCTAATGTATCTACTCAGTCTGAAATCTACGTGCTGTCAAAGCGAGCTGTTCTCGTCTGACGGAAGCGATGCCAACACCCTCTGTCTCTCGAAATAAATTATAAGTTAAGGGGTTGCAGCCCCCTTTGTCTATAGATTAACACGCGGTCATCCGCGTCGCGTCTCATTCTAGTTCTAAACACGACTACGTAGATGATAACGGATGTAATATAATGTGTGTAAGTTCATCTATTCGGTGGTCGAAAGTTACTGATAGAATTACAGTTTTCTGTGCTTGCATGCTTAGCAGACCCCTCAGCTTAAGGGGACAAATCGGTGGACATACATCTGTGTCGCCTATATCCGAGCCTGACATAAGCAAATCTAGTATTCGAAACACACGTTAGTAAGTTCCAGGTGGAGTAAGATACAGTCTACGAGGTATGGCTCTACACAAGACTTGTCAGTGAAAACGTGTCTTCTACGCGCGTCAGTAAACAATTCTGCTGGAAGGTTCTTTATCAGAAGGATGAGAAGAACCGTAGATCGCAAAATAACCAGAATCGGCACATGCGGACATTTTTGCTCACATTTTATGACCCTTCTTATTCCAGCGTATTCTTCACCTACACTGGCTCGTGACTAAAGAAGTTTTATAGCACTCAATTGGTATATTGGCGCCTTCAGGTGATTGTTACCTCGGCCTGGATTGTGGTCGGTAGTCGAATCCGTCGGGTGAGGTGGCGCCAGCGATGGTGTGATAGTGCCCATCATGTGCTAAGGGTGAGTGGGCGCTAGTCATACCGGCCGTGTATGTTGCGTAAGGACTGTGACCCCCTTGAGGGCTGCCACATGTCGGTGAGCCAAGTGCTGGTGGGGTGAGGGCCGCAGGAGACCCTGGACTATGGGCGCCTCCATTGGTTGAAAACCAGTGATGCGAGTTAACTGTGTTCCTGTAAATATGACAATATAATAAAGAAGCATGTGTGTATTCGTAAAGTTAGTCTCTATTGTTTTTGTCAATTATTTTCAGATTGTAGGATTACGTGATCTGGTGCTTATATATAGAGGGAGAGAACCATGAAATGACAGCAGAAATATAACCTACGAATTAGGCGAAGGCAGATGGAGTAGGGGTCCACTCAGGTTCGTTTCAACTGTAAAAGGACCATGCAGTGGCGAATGATAATGATAAAATTTCGGCTTTGTTTTCGATTCAACGACTTCTGGTACAGGTGCTATAACAACTATATTATTTCTTTTCGAACAATAGATAACAATAGTACAGTTATATAAAATACTATAGGGACATAACTACACTACAATAAGAAGAATCATCCAAATTATGCAAATATGGCATAAATCATACACCCAGAAGTGGTTATGTTTATTAATACGCTGATCATAGCGAGTATACGACAAATTAAATGACAAAAAAGTAGTTAGACACCCATTTCCCAAAGAGCACATATCAACAAAGCTAAAAATTTCATAAACGAAAAACGATAATTAACAAATAAAGCCGCATTGACATCGGTAGATCACGCAAAGCAATGAAAAAGCTTCTCTTAAATGAGTACTTCCTTTCTAGGGAGTCACGCTGACAATTAATTCATAAACAAAGCGGCGGTAACCATGATGAGGTGTTCTGACCACAGAAACGCCCAAAGATGGCACCCAAATGATGTTCTTCGTTTCTACCTACTTTGCTACGCTGACAAAATGAGTAGACGGTCCGTTTGTAGCTTATATATTCTAGAAACATTTACATGTTGACTGCAGGTATTCGAAGCTACTGGAATGTGCCACTCTGTTAAATATGCTTATATCACAAACTCACAAGTATATTCGTAGGGCAAGCAAAGAACTATTTTATTATTGTTCTATTATTGTCTACAGGCCAATTCTTTTGTTTTTATGAAGGCCAGTTTTGAATACGCCGCAAGGCAGCAACTTAGGAATGTGTTAGTGATATGCTATGAGAGGAGGCGCTCTAGTGCCGATCTGGAGTTTCTGATCTATCCTAATAAACACATTACCCAGAACAGAGGGAGTGCCCTAAGCTTTTGCCCATCGCCAGACAGCGACAGCAGAAACGACTACAAAAAGCCTGTTGTACATTTCACATTGATTTTTTGTAAATTTTGAACAAAAATACTGAGGTACGCAACAAAGTTTCTTGGCAAAACAAGTCCATGTATATTGTACTGCCCTTTTCACGTTCTCCGGTCTGACGACTTGCCGCGGCTAGCTTATTCAAGGATTTCTAAGCAAGACTTCGAGACTCTTTTACTCGAAGATTTTGAAAGATGGTATAGTTTAGCGCTCTAGTGCATATTGTTAGGAAATGCGCTATTATGTATAAACCTATCTCATCAAATTAAAAAAAAAATAGTCCTTCTTCTTCTTCTCTACGGGGTTTGGGATCATCCTGTTTTGACTGCATAACCTGGCCGCTGCGCGAATCTAGGCTGCAAACTAAATCTTGTAATTAAATAATCTCTTTCTTACAGATCTTGAAAACACGTAAAATTTACTACGATAACAGAATTTTAGTCTATAACAGAACCTTATGATAGAATAAGCCCCATATAACTCTGTACTGTCCTATTCAAGATGCGTATTAGGTCTATTTACCAAGTTGAACCGCCAGTCACGTTTGAAAGAACTAGATTACTTTATTCTACAAGCTCAAATAGACATTCATCTGAAAAACCACATCACCACAAATTCAGATATTTAAGAAATCCCGGAACCGGAACATTTTTGACAGACTTAAACTTCGTTATTATCTCAGGCTGTAAATTCAGCTTTCAAGCTTGCTCAGACGAAGTCGTCTGTTAGACTTACACACATTAGTATCAGTATAATGCAGCCGCTGGAGTCATATAACTACAAGCACTATGCCATGGTCGACATTGCCATCAGCTAAAACCAAAATCACTTGGCATCTCCTCGAGGTCCATCGTATAGAATACAGGTAAAAAAAAATGCCAAGAAAGCAATCTTACTAGGTAGGCCTCTTTAATAATAATAGATCCTGTTCGATCTAAGGGTTAATCAGCAACAGCCTTCGCAAAAGTCCCGGACCATCTCTAAACGTGACATAGATATGTGAAGTCCAAACAATACTACGGGTTTCGGCGGCTCTAGAGCTCAATGGTAGTATAAAAAGATCAACGTCTACTTATCACACATGTGCCTAGAGAATCTAACTACATTTTCCTGTAGATCACTCTGTTCGGTTTCAAGATCTTCACTTCCAGACTCATAGTTTGTCGGGTGAAACGCCTGAAGACTCGTCATAATTGGTTAGCCGCCAATATTATGTACGCTATTTCACGCCGCGCTCACCCACAGACCCTTGATCTACTTCACATGCTAGCACGCAGAGATACTTTAAAGCTGTACGGTAGATTTGGCATGTTTAGTAAAGGTAACACGAAAAGAGTAGACTCAGTGTCGAAAGAAGTGCTTAAATCGAAGAACAAATTTCACAAAAAATCATAAATAAATCCCTTCACCTTCCTGATCGCTCAAGTGAATAATATTGTATATTGCAAAACAACAAAATTGATAATGTATCAATGTACTGGCTAGCCCCCTAGCTCGACCACTCTGTCGAGTGGTCTGAGCAACAGTACAGAGGTTGTTGCTAAAGATAATTATTTTGACGGTGGCAAGCTCAAGTCTTGGCTACTAATCATTGTAAGTCAGCTTAGCAAATGTTCGCTTTGTGTAGTTTAATTGAATGGTCATTAATGAAATGTACAGTATACAAGTTAAAAAAAAAATCGTTAACCACACGCGATGGTATGTACTCGAAATGTAAAATGCTAATATAAAATGTAGCATTTTTATTCACATTAAATACAAAAACATGTGCATGTATATAAAATTATATAGCATGTGTCGTTAAAGAAGCTCTAAGCAAAGTTTCTCTACCCCTAGAGTAGAGCATGTGCATTTTCATCTTCGTTAGCAATATTTAAATTTATATACGGCACTTACTTTATGGCAGACATGATATTACGATGATGACCCTTCGAATCAGATTTTGACCTCGGCCTGAAGGCGTCAAAAAGGTGTGACGGTCCCGTTCTTCTGGGCGGACTAGTTCCGGGAGTAGTTGATGGGGTTCTCAATCCGTGATCTTGTCCACCGTAACTCCCAATTTCTCTGTTTGATTTAGAACAACACCAAAAACAAATTAATCCAGCTATACAACTTAATTTTATGAACTTGAAACTAGATGCTATCGGTATGAATATATATTACTTTGTATTTAATAAAAACTACTATACAAGGCTTCTTATTTAATTAAGTAATTACAATCTTTATCGTAATACATATAAATAAAATGCTGCACACTTTTTGTCACAGTCTTATATGCTTTAACCATGTGTGCATAGTTCGGACCCTTAAAATAAGCTTTTACATTCATTTGCACATGTCAGTCAAAGCCTAACACCTATCCCATGTTGGTCTTGTATTGAACTAGAAAGATCTGCGTGAATAGCTACTCCGTTTATTTTGTCCTATGTTTGCTGCTCACATTAGCGATACATATCACTCAAGTATCTATCTAGTATCACCATCAAGCCCCAGTTTAAACAGCCACAAGTTCAAGTAGCGCAGAAAACCGATAAATTAACTACATCTTTTGTTAGAAAAAATAGATTGAGTTCACCTGCCGAGATTCGACTTTACATTGCGTAGTTACAATTAAGCAGCCTCACGATGACTAAATGGGCCTTTATTAAGAAGACTGTTTTTTCTTCAACCGCGCTGACCCCATGGACCCCATAATGGAGCGTCCGTTGCTTGCCGTTGGTCGGCCCCGGCCGCTTAGCAATCGTACTTATTCCAATTTCATAACTTTTGTCTGCCTTTTGCGAAAACAGCCAAACAGTAACCTGGTAGTATGTGATGGACTATTTCGAGTTTCCACGGCCTCATATGCTTGATGATCTTCTTCAGAAGAATCGGGATGCTGAACCGATGGTGCCTAATAATTACATCATAATAAAGACATCCCGTCGGACCTTGTTAGTGTTATATCGCTAAAATGATTGATTTACGTTGTTATATTATAAGTGGGTTATTTTGTGTTTCTGCCTAACCGATACGCAGGAAAATCAGTGTGTGCCTACTAAGTTGGTTGTGCGCTGGATGGGGTCACTTGTCTGAAACGGTCCTTGACGGCGGTATCGGATATAGCAGTCAAAGTATGTTGTCCTTAATAGATGAAGCCACATCATGTGAGAGGTCTAGCGTAACACTGAAGTAACATTGGTACATAAAAACTGACATAAGCCAATCATCCTCAAAGCTTTGAAATTTCGCAATAGTACTGAACTGTTGTCACTGCTTCTGTTATAAAAATTGAAAGAGCATTTGGGTATATGCTGTTTTTTTCAAAATTGTCTAATCGTTACATGGCTAGTGTGCAAAAAAATGGTGCTTAAAATGAGATTATAATGGGTATGAATGAAGTATAATAGGACAAATAACAAACGTCATTCGAATACAACCTGTGAACTTTTAGCGGATGTTCCGTGGACGGCATGCGTATGGTGATAATGCGCATCGGCAGCCCCAGCGGCCATCGTCGATTTGTGGCTATCGGAAGATAGGCTGTCCCTCTCTGATGAGATGCTCCGGGACGAAAAGAACGGATAACTTTTTCCCTGCAGTGCAGAATCGGACAGCGACCCAACATGTGTCAGTCCAAGCGTGGCCGGTTAAAATAGTTTTATTATGTAGTTAGTTCTTTTTTTTTTTGACCAATTAATTAACATAACGAATCGGCCCAATTGTCAACCTACAGCGCACATTGTTTCTAGCTATCCTATTGCATATATCGGAGTACGTGAAGAAGCGGAACCTCAGTAGCTACCTCAGTTGTTCTCATAAAACCAGAAAAGTAGTAAAACTAAGTAACAGGTCACTTTGAGGACTGTTCATTTTTCCACGTTTATATATTGGATTGTTGAAAAGAGTACTGATCGTTTTGATATAGAAAATATTTGCTTCATTTTTAGCATTTCGAAATATTATTACTACGATAATTATGTGCCATTTTTAGCCATAACCCTTTGCCCCTTTTGATCACATATTTGGTGGCTTTTAGGTAACACAGCTGTGGCGAGTTATTTTTGCATATCCGCATTGAAAATAAATTTGTACCATTAGAGGAGTTTCTCAGGAACAAGAAAAATGATAATACCAAATTCAGCCTTTCTCAATTTTTGCCGAGCTTCTAAATATGTACATCGCCTGGCATTGCCATGCGATGTACACGTTCGCTACGCGAAAGACAGCGTATCTTTGGTCACCAGTTTTTTCCAGCGGCATGTTGAAGTGTCGTTAACTGCTGAACGGAGAAGTTCGAATTGACAATTTTGCCAAGAGCCAAACATTAATGATGTGCAATTTTTCCCAACTCCACTAAACGTGTGGCGCAACCTTCCTCGGCATCAGTCTGGTTTCCACATATTTTAGAGAAATTTCTTAGTTGGCCTTATATGACCCTCTTTTCAACCGCTTTCGGAGTGGCCTGATGGCATTACACTTCTGTATAGTTTCGCAGATGAAAATACGACTGAGCAAATTTTCCTTACCAATTAGTGCGGCACCCAAAATGTCGCAGATCTTTATGTAGCTAGCTTCGTTTAAACAATGAAATCGTTTAATGTATTTAATGGCGCATATTTGGTTCTTTGTCGATACCGTAGCTACTCACGTGTCGGCCTCACTCAACGTAATTTCCGTAATCAGTCGACCTCTACAAATAGCACCTTTCACAACGAAACTGCCAGAACAAAATTATCTTTGGTCCTTCCTCGCAAAAACGCATTTTGAGCCTAAACAGAAGACATGTTTTATAGGCCTAGGCAGCTTTTGTGCCTTTGTCGTAGCAAAAGTGAAGACGATAGCGAATTTTGCAGAAACCTCACTGGTCCTCAAGGCGCTTGTGTACTTGAATAATCTTATCAACAACATATGTACTACTGCCAAAAGTCAACTTTCAAATGACAGCAGTGCCAAGCCGACGCCACTCACATCACCCGAAATATATAATTTCAATGTCACTTAGCTCAAAAAACGGTCAGTACTCCACAGGTTGTTCAAATAAGATATCTACTAGATACACCTACAGACACCATCAATCTTTTTCCTTGTCGAAGGCTGGCTTTATTTATTGAAATTCTCTTATCCTAGTGAGTCTTGCCTGTGGTGATATGACTGGTAGAGCCGTCTTAAGGCCTTAAGCGCGTTGTTTCAAGCAAGCACGTCAAGACCAAAGTGTTACCCAAGGATCAGGTCGTGGCAAGATTAGCTTGGCTTACTCTATTCAGATAGGTAAACGCTTTCTAGTGTGATTTTGAGTATGTCCCGTTTATTTATGTTGCTACTCTACAAGCGCGGTTGATGTGGTAAAAGACAACATTCAGTCTTTTTGTGGTCACGGTAAACATGAATTCTTGTCAAACGATTCACTGTTAGATGCGCTATTTTGTGTGTCTGTGACTTAATCCATTTTCATCTTGTCACCATATTGTTCGACACACTTTTCTAAATAGTTCCATTAAATTTCGACTAAATCACCGCCACCACTCTACCGCTAATGGCTACTAACAGTGTCGAATTTCACGGACCTATGATAATTAATTTATAATCAGGGACCACGGCGCAGCCATTGTGGTCGCTGTACACAGTAGCATATCGCAGCAGTAGCTTGCCAAGATTTTATTATGGTTTACTCTTAATTCAGGCCTCATAAATATTTATATCTAACTCAATTGTAAATTAAATTTGCAAGGACCTATAGACAGACATGAGCGCCTCCACACGGAGACACAGACACACACACACACAGACATACATACACACACGCCACATACACACACTCACACACACCCTTTCCGTCATTCTCGAAATCCTTTCGAAGCACCAGAGGGGAGTACAGGATTCCGGTCGGTGATATGCGCCCGCTTACCCGGGACCCGCAGCGTGAAAGTGATTCGGTCCAGGCGTCGTAGTTGTACGATCCCCGACAAGGAGCTGCCTCACCAAGAGTAGGTGAGAGCGAAGGAGTGCTTGCTGCAGGAGTTACAGCTGACGCGAACTCGCCAGCTAAGAGCAAATCCGATGACGGCTGCGGGGAGTTTGATAATGCCGAAAAATCGCCGAATGAATGCGAAAACGGACTAGATCGAAGTAAAGGACTCGTATCTGCTATAGTTGGGGCTGCGCGATTTCCTGAGGGACAATCCTCCGTTATGATGCGCGGTATAATGAAAGGTAACGTGCAGCTTTCGCCCTGAAATTCACCAGCAAATACGTTTTAGGTTAGACATCAAGGAAACATTAGATATTTTCAATAAGATACGGAATGAACCAGTATAATTACATTAGTTAGGTATACTTATGTTTGAGATCTCAGGGTAACGATTTGGTATACCTAAAGTTACGAGGTTCTAACTATAGCAGCCAATTTTGAACATAAACTATTTCAGATAGGTGTGCTGGATAAACGAGCACACAGATGTGTGATATAAGGAGCAAGATAGTCAAAGGTCACAATTCACTCGACGTTCCCTTCAACAACTGATTCTAATTTTTACCATGTAAACAGGGGCATATTTGAATCTATGACGTAACTAGAAGGCACACTTACATACCTACATATCTTAAGAATAACTATACTTTCTCGACAAATATGGAGTTTCTGACGGTCCGCTCACTGTTACGGGCGTTGTAATCACTCTTTACTCCTTGTGTGATACGTTACGCAGACACGGGGAATACTTCTTAGCCTCCTCGCTCGAACTGAAACCAGGCGTTAAAACAAGCAGGCAAATACGTAGAGGCTGCTTTGCTGCCTCTATGCATTAGGTTCTAGGACCATAAACGGCCGACCTACTTGCGCTGCAGTCGGTTCACAGTGCAGAAACTCCACGTATTTATCCAAGCTTCCCATTTAGGATTTCCTTCTCTGCACATCACTTCTTACTCATACAACCTGCTTCATAACCTGCTTTTGCAAGGTGATTGCAATGCAGCTCTAGGGATGGCCTTTTTCTGCCCAACTGAAACTGGATAATGGGGTGCAACCGTTTAGAAGATTCCTATGCGACATTGTCAAGGTAGTTAAGCCAATTTAGATTTGCAGTCCAACGTAGTTATAGTTAGAATGCATAGATAAAAAGCCAAAGGGCACGTCAACGCGCTCGGTGGACAGTGTATAAAAACACGTTTTCGGCCTTCTTCTTTATTGCTGATTACTCTTTAGGAGCTATATGCGTGTACTTGTTCATCCCTAAAATATCTATATGCTATGCTTTTATAAGTGTTACCAATGCGTGCTCGCTGGCGCCACGTAAATGTACACTGATGTGGTACTAAATTACTGATAAAAGCCATCTCTTTTCCTCGTAGGCCAAATGTATAATTTAAGTTAAATGTAAGCTAAGTCAATTCTGGCACAAATCTTGCTCAGTCACTCCACTATGCTCAATTAACTGCCAGGTTGCGTCATCAGGTTGCGCCTGGAGTGCCTCAGAACTCCTGCCATGGGGTGTCTTTAGACACTGCTTCAAAGCCATAAAATGTAGTCAGTCACACCATTTAAGTAGGTGTCAACGAAATGTATGTCACGAATAGCGCATGCTTGGGTGTCTCGATCGTTTTTGTCGTCCACTCCTACGGCATCTATCTTTTCCACTCGTCACTGCCGCTCCAATGTAAAAAGTGAGACAATGTGGTGATCGCGTAACCGCCTCAACGTGGCGCCAGCAGCCGGATGCATGGTCACATCGACGGCCACGTTGAACAGCTTTCACGGGAACAAGCTTTCTGCTGGTCCATACCGTACAAACAAATAAATGGAGTTAGTCACAAGGAAACAGTAGCAGAGATGTCAGACGTATCGTAGTAACAGCCAGAATGGTAAGCAAGATCATAGTTTGCGCGAAAATATCACTTTCATTGATGGAATACTTGTGCGCGTCCCTTGCGACGAACGCTCTGAGAACGACGTTCAGGTGATCACTGGCCAATCTGCATCGCTTATGCGGAGCGTACGTAAACAACGAATGAATAAATAAGGTATCTACTATATTTTCATTCAAGAAGAGGTAGTGCCAGTTGTTTATAAGCCTGCATGGCATAATGGCCAACAAACGGTGGTAGGTGGACCTTATAACAACAATATTTTACTGATCTCTATGGTACCGTGTGTGATTATTGTTAACGTCCACTTCCTCTGTTGAGTTAGGTATCCTATACTACGTTGCGGAACGCATTGATAAAATACTACTTGTTGAAGTCACCGATACCTAATTGCGATAACCTCATTCAATGATCAAGTACGAATTTGGCTATGATACATTTGCTGGATACAGGCTGGATAGTAAGGAAAATGAGAAGGACAAAAAGAAACTAATGTTTAAAAGTTGGCCCACACATCGTTCGATAGTTATTTGTCATAACGCACGAACCAGTTATCGTTTCTGATGGATGTTTTAGCAAACAAAAGGACCCAGAGCTATCATTGCCCGCTAACAATCATATCTTTCTGGGGTCATACCATGACCCCAGAAAGGAAATCTATATTATTTAATGGCAGGCCAGGTGTCGCGAGCGGGAGGTGTCGGAAGACTAAACCGAAGAAAGACCCCTATGATTTTTGCTCTCGCGTCAAGCGGTAGTTACAATTACCTGCTTCGCTTGTAGGGCTCCAGTTGTCAGCTTCCGGCACTTCAAGTCATTCGTTTATATTCGGAGAAGCTATTTAATAATATGAGCACAAATAGCCAACCCGGTAGATTACCTACCATTTATATTGTAAACAATAAAATCAATAGAAATTAACTGTACTAATACATGGTCTAGTCAATTACTTTAATGTCATTGAGCCCAATATATACCGAGTGTGCTGGTTGTACACTGGTCCAGTTTTGATATACAAGCTGACTGAAGAAAATATTTCATTTCTGTTGCCTTAGATCATTCGCACAGCTAAAGAAAATACGGCTAAACTCTTATAAATGTTCTTCATTTTTACTTATGATGAATTATCGATAAATTCGTCACACATACACACCCCCACAGTAGCTTTTGACCCATATTCCCAAACAGTGTCGTATTCGCGTAAAATGACGAGATGACAACTAGCATTTTTTTTAATGTACCACACAATAGGTCATCAGACTGATTTCCTGAGGACGATGACAGTCAACCTAAATCACTAACGTTACCATTCATTATTCAAGGTAACACAGCGTACTTTCACAGTAACGTAATTCTATGAGCTGCGAACAGAAGCAAACAAGCAAGTATATGAACAATTGCTGGGTCAGTCTGATCTCATCCTCGACCACACGTAGGGGACACTGACAGCATACCTCCTCAAAGGATCAAGACAAGGGATGATGGCGATTGCTTGTACAACTAATTGGCAAAAAAAAAAGGAAGAGGAAATGGGTAAACATATTAAATACGGAAAAGCGGCATTTGGTGCCGTTGACAGAAATGTGTACCCATTTCAATCAAGTTCATGTGAATTACTTCTATTATTTTTGACTTTTCCATCATATAGCGAGCCATATCAGTGATTAATGCAGTAGTTACCCTTCCACTTCGGTCGTTCTAGTTACGCATCCACAGGTTTTGCCGTGCGTCCACATGTATTTTGTTATCCATTAATAGAATCCCTGATCGGGGCTCAAAAAAGGTCGCCCATGGTAAATTGTTGATGCGGATAACTTCAGTCACCGTGCTTTATAACCTTAACCATCAGTGTCTGACATTACTTGGGGTATCAAAATGAGGACTCATTGTTAATCGTGAATAATTATCTATTTTTGCTAAATCGGTGAGAAAAAGTCGGTACGGAATCAAGAAAAACAGTCGTATTTTCACTATCTGCTACCCTTGCATACCTGATCTTATTACAGCAGCATCGGTTGGGCGAACTTCATTTTCAAATTTTTTCAAAATACATATATATATATATATATATATATATATATGATTGCATATAAAAAAAAAGACTAAATTGAAAGCTTTTACATGTTCAAGATGATATAAATTTGACTTCAATATGAGAAAATGTTGAATTCGACTCTAACTAGCTTTCATTAGATGAGCAATCCAGATAAAAACTGGAATTCAGCTCTCATTAGGTCAATATGTATTACCGGAAAATTTTGAGAACGTCTATTCCGTTTAGATTTGTAGGAAATATCTTAGGGCATCGACCGTTTCTCTTCTATATACAGGTTATGAATATTCAAACCATCGCCTTTATTACCATTGATGTATTTCTTGTATTTGGGTCCTATACCACTATTTCAAAAGTCAAACTGATGTAAAGCCCAGTAATGATAAAACGTATTTGACTAGAAATGCTTTGTCCTGCTTTTCATCTGTTCTAAACGCTGCCACCACCAAAGGCTGAAGGACCGTCAGGTCTTGTTTTTGTAAGTGATTTTTCGTCGCCATTCGACTAGCTTTCAGCATCGTTCAATTCGAGGCTCCCACACATTGTCTTCTCCAGATCGAAATCTCATTGACATTTTCCTAAAAGGTGACGTGTCCCTTTAGTGGAACAGTTCTTCAAGTAATGAAGCCTGAAGCACCCGCATATTTTTCACACTCACTGGCAAGAATACCTGAAGTTCAACATGAAAGAAGGTTTGTAGATCCCAACTAGCGCGCGGATATAGTTATGGTCCACAGTATTGTGCTCAAGAGACATGTTTATAGAAATTGGCAATATGATATAATTAAATGGCGATAGTTAATCAATAAGACAGCAAGCATCTTAACAGTACTATTTACTGCTTGACTCAATCAACTCCGAATTTTTAATTAAAAAAAAAATGTAATCTAAAGGCACTGTACCAGCAGAAGTTTTTTTTACCAGACTATTTTTTCTTTCCGGCCTCTAGTCGGAAGACATCAAATAAACGTCTGCGGACCGAAGACAGACCCATTGGGTACGGAGGCAGACAGCAGTAAGATCACATACGATCGAAATACAAAAAGGCTCAGCCGTGCTGGCAAACGACTCTCAAATTTTAATTATTGGCAAAAAAAAAACAGAGAAAAACATTACTAAGAGTGATACGATATACAGTACGGAAAATACAACTATCCACTAAGCTATCCAAGAGCGGCCCTTTGACAAAAGTCTGCGTAAATACATGAACTAGATTCTGATACGTAGTAAGCTCGTCAGGGAGCTAGTAGGGATATACGGGGAGTAGCATTTTCACATATGCCCGCCCACTTGTCTATATATACGTATGTTTTTGG